AATGGGGCTTGTAAAGTTAACAATTATGCTTAAATACCCTGTTAAATGTTATGAATCCCATACGGTCTCCCATTAATACCGTGGAGAAATGTATGGCTATCCGTACGCGGAAAATAGACACCTTGTAGTTTGGAAACCCTGAATACATGCGTAACGGCAGGTCGGGTTCAAAATTATTCGGAAATTGGAAAAAATTTTGAAAACCGAATGAAACTCTTCCTTTGAGTATACAATTGGACGAAGACGTCATTATCTAACGAATTAGCGAAAGAATGAATATTTTCATGCATTTTTCCCATAAAATGTAACTGAATTATTAAGGGCCTCGAAAATCAATGAGAAAAATGAATGCTCCTTATGTAGTTACTTTTTAAGGAGTAAAGTGTTTGCATATAGCGGGAAAGAAATTCGCTCGAAGGCCGACACCCTGAGGTAACTGAATTATTATAGAATTATGCTGCAGGATGATTATTTTTACAAACCTACCTAATTAAAGACTCTCTTTCAACATCGACAGTGAGGCTAATGTTTGAGAACTCAAAACAAGCAGCCTAAAACAAGGGTGGGAGTGAAGTGCAGTTTCATGACCAGCAAGGCACTGAGAAAAACCATTAAAAACGCATACTCTGCTTGTATTTGCGCGCTAAAATGACTGTGCCTACCAAGTAACCTAGAATAGATCACAAAAGGTGAAACTAAAATTTACATTTACGGAACGCGCATGAAAATTGTGCTTCAAACAAAAAAGGAGTGGACTCAGAGTTGCAAGAAGCTGTTTAATAAAACTAGGCGCGGTGCTACCACACAAACCGTCTAAAATTTCGCCAAACCGACAACGCGCTTTCACTTAGTGATTGAAGCAAACAAGTAATCATTTAGCCGATAAAGGAGCTCGTAACGCGATCTAAAAAAGTGGAATTATGATCTTCCCAGCGTTCGCTGCATCCCCAAGTCGCAGTCTTCGCTGGTGCCTGCTACCTTATCCCTGGTAGATGTGAGCTAATTCCAGGCCAGGAAATGTCCTAATGCAAGTCCGCAGTTCAAGCAGCGGTGAGGCAGAGAGCAGAGGCGGAATAGTTAACACCTTATGCTCGTCTTTTGCAGGAATGATACGCAAGAGGGTAGAACAGACTTATATAGTCCCGAAAACAGGCAATGAGAGAAGAAACCGCTTGCAATATGGGGGCCTTGAGTCGGCTTCCAGTGCTATCAGGTTTAGACTTACGTTTAGGGTGGGGATGAGTTTAAGAACTGGGTTTAAAGCTAAATCCAAAGTTGACGGCAAGGATCAAGTCTAAGGTTAAGGTAAGGTCTACTGTTAGCTGCAGAGTTAGGGTGGAGTAATAGTTGGAATTAGGACATAGAAATATTTTGTCCTTTCCGGAGTTATGCTCGGGGCGTTCCTATTCGCATATCCTGTTTAGAAAGCCCCATAACTCAGTCCACAAAAATCCGCGACTAGGTCAAATGTATAAATTAATCGGTTTGTCGACCTGGCGCCGACATACACAGCCCGGCGCAGTCACATACAGACCGGCGTTATTGATATTGCATTGACTTATTCTCCCTATAGTTGATGCTTGCTATGTTGTCGTTTTGGTGTTTCACAATGGACTACTGAATGAGTTAAAGAACGCAGAAGATTGAACAAACGGTTCTGAGGAACGAGCAATCGTCTTCTTCGCTACTTGTGCATACTGCTGGAATCCGAACATTTGCTTAATGGAGTCGTTTACCGGATCTGCTGCAGTTGCGGACAAAGAAACTACGTCGGAGAACCCGAAAGACTGCTCCCAAAGAGAATTGTCGAACACGCGGCAGCGATACGCAGAAATTACGCCAACTCTCAGGTCGCCGCGCGATCATCGCGCCAGCATCCAAAATGGGTGATGACATTTCCGAAATTAACAACTTGCATGCGGGCCATCAAGCAATTAGCGCACCAGCGGGCAGCCATCCTTGATAAAGGGGAGCGCGTTTAATTGCTATAGTTATGCGGTAGTTTAGCGACTGCATCCTATAAATACTGCAATTTACTGTGCGCGAGTCATCCTTTTCTGCCACTGTCTCTGATTATGGATTCAAGTGAGAAGCCAAAACGTCAGGCGAATAAAGCCCCTGTTCCAGCGATCGCTTCTTCTTCTTCTTCTTCTTCTTCTGATCATTCATGAAAAGTCACTTTCCCAAGCCAGGATAAGGCAGCACTAGCGTGTTAGCAAAGTCCGATTTTCCGGTTATATTTGTACTTTACCCTCTTGGCGCACAGGTACCCGGCTCCATGAATGCACGAGAACTCGCGCCTGAGAAGTTGAATAATGTACTTCAAACGACGTGTCCCACTGAGAAGCGGGCAGAACGTTTGTACCAACCAGTAAATGGCGTCAGGACGGCGTGAACTACGCCAATGACCGGGGTCAGTAGTGCAGATGTGCGGCCTTAATGTGCAGATCTCGAAATCGAGGACGAAACCCACGTCGGAAAGTTCACCTCCGATTAAGAACATTGCCTTTTCGGAAGTAGTTAATGTGAGTGTTGGGTTTTCGCCAAAACTGCAAAAGTGCTACTGACCTTTATACGTTTAGTTCATTGAAAAGCCGTGTGGCTCCCTTCACAATGGAGAACTAATAAGGAAAAAATGACCCTGGGTGTGACTAGGTGGAAACTACTTGTATTCGGGTTTCGTTTTAATTCCCCTCTGCCTTTTTATACATGTAATGTTCCATTCGAACTCGTGCCGGAAGCCAACGTCAGAGATAAGGGTAGCAAGAGAACAGACAATAGTTTTAGAGGGCATGTGCCAAAAAGAACGAAGTACGAACCTTCAATCAGGAAACAAAAACTAGGTCATAATAGCATATTGCGTCCTCCCCCCTTCATACATGACGCTTCCACGCTCTCTTGCAAAAAACTGGAAATATGTTCGAAAAATGTTCAATTTTTGCTTGCACTGTCAGATATCTAGATACCCTCATCATTCTTCGGGGGGGTCGAGTTCTTGGCAGTTCTTGACGTACTCCTTTCCGCCGTTTAGTCGCACACATAAACCCATTTGGTTTTTGTTTCCTGAGTGGGGTCGCATACTGCGCTCTTGTCCCTTTTCCCAGTTGACGATCATTGACGCAGTTCTGAAAATGCCTACGCAGGAATCTTTATGCGGGCGCCAAATCGATACATCGATTGACTGACTTCATCTCAGACGTCTAGGTTTCCATGAATTCACGGTTAGCCTTGCTTCCGGTATTTGCTTCCAGTGACTGTCGCTTGTTCTGTTGTTACTGCTGCTGTTTTACTCTCTGACGATGGATTCCCTGATGGGTTTAAAAGATCAGAAAATTAGCAAATTTTCTGGCTGCCTGATTCTTCATCACCTATGCCTACTGTGTGAATGTTTGCCTTCACTTATAACTTTGTTAGCGTTTTTTAACGATCGCTTCTCAACTCTTTGAGCTGAGGTCATTGTAGTTAATGCACCAGACCGCCTACAGTAGACGACCCATCATTGTACGATGAAACACTAAACCGCGATAATTGTTTCGGACTTAAATTCACTTCAATAAGTAGGTAGTGTTTGCATGCCACAGATGTTTGGGGGCCTCAACCCGATCCTTACCAATAACAACTTACAGGAAATTATAAAACCTGATATTACGGTAGACGGAAAACTGTGACTGAATTAAACAGGCGCATGCACAGATAAACAAAATCCATGAACTAAAGCGGCCTCGTTAACAGTCGAGCAAAAATGGATCATAACTGAGACCCGCTAAAACTAAAACTAGTCCTTTTTCTGCAGTAGGATAATCGAGTTCGTCGTAACAACTTAGAGCCATGTACAACAGCAGCATCGGTTAAATGATCCAATGGCTAGAGATAAACGAAGCGACACATGTTTACGAAGTCAAAAGCCACTGGAATGTTAAAAAATTAAGACTTGTCGTCCCAAATAAGCGAAATATACTTGCTGTTACAGTCAAGAGCCAGCCAAAATCCACGGCAAAAGTCGTCCGTATGCTGAGGAGAAACTTTAAGTGCAATTAATATTGAAACAGATATCACGAAACCCTTTGTTAACTTTGTTCCAACTCAACATAGAATCGAACGAAATTAATCCCTGGAGGCAGGCAACGATTTTTGGAATCGGATCAGATGTTAATCTAATGGATCAAGACGTTATCCAAACAGCATATGCTAGTCTCCAGAGTATATTTTGACGGTTTTGTGACGGTGTTTTTGTTCATATGCTTCTGCAGAAAAGCAGATGAGGTAAGTGGATGGTTTATCGCAAATACGTCTATACTCTGTCGCCTAGACGAACTCAATCTGTACCACTTCTGACTGAAGAAATGCCTCTCGATCAACATGGGGTAGAATGCCATTTTTGCTAAAATACCCTGCTTTCAAAAGCCCCCGATTTTTGAAAACAAACCTATTTAACCTTCCTAAATAACTATTTCTAACACCGTCCCTGATAAGAATGGCGAGCGTTAAAAAAACATGCCCTAGTTTGCCTATTTTAAAAAGAAAGCTGCACGCCTGTTGCATAGCACTACGAGCTGTTTATGAGGTGAAATAAAGACGTTTTACGGGTCATTTGTGATGTTAAGGGTCAATCCGGAAAAATGCCCGTGTGAGAAGCCATCTTTCGCATATTAAGTGACGAGTAGAACTTATTATTCCACGGCAGAGGATGCTGACAGACGTTTGAATAAAATGAAACCCGATTGTTTCGAGCTGGATAGAGACATGCGGGTATGGTCGCGAACTATGTCAGTTACCAATTGCCTCTCTAAGTTTGTTTGCGAAAAAGTATTAAAAGGAGAACTAAGGCTTTGCATGACACAAATATTTAAGTTTTTTACAAACGCGTACACGCACCTACAGTTCGTGACGAGCCGCCGGTTGGGCAAGCCGAATCTAAGACTAATCAATCCGTTTGGGAGGTTGCAACTGATCCGCAAATGCAGAGGTTTCAGATCTCGCCTTCCGTTTGATGAATTGCGTCACAGAGCAGTCACCGAACTAAAAAGATACGAGAAAAAAAACACTAGTGCAAAAGTGGCTGGGCTACAAGTTTTCGTAACTCAAAACGGTAAGTCGTCTGCTAGAACAGCTATATTTGATATTAGAACAAAGAAAAAACGTTTGTTAGGTTAAATGCGGTAAAGACGTGGGCAAACGTCCGTTAAATGAAAAAGGAGCACTTGGATTAAAACAGAAATTTGTGTGTCTGTGATATCTGCATAGAATTGAATAAACAGTACAGGAGAATGCATACGACTTCGTTTTTATTCGTTTTTCGTGGGGATAACAATTTTTCTGTGGCCAGACGAAGAAATGAGCTATAAAACGGCACTTTTAATTTGACAAGTAGTCAGTCGAGCGTGCGGAACACCTAAGCCTATGCAGTGATAGTTGATATTCCTCCCCTGCGAAAATTGCTGTTGCAGTAGAGTTAGTGCTTATTGCATATGCGGGTGCCCTAGGTCAATTTCGTGATCTGACAAAATTTAGGAGACAAAAAGGGCTTCGGATAACTGAGGCTCCGTGAGCATGGTACCTAATCACAAGCAGGAAGGAGACGACTTGCGAGAAACGTCTGATTAAGAAAAAAAGTTTCATTCCGTAAACCATCTTCAACGTTTTCTTAATAAAGCCAATTCAAAGCTGTCTATGGCCGAAGTGTGATAACCAACAAAGGTAGGCCCCAAGGAGATATTGACGCTCCGACAACTATTGAGTCCCCGACGAGTTCTTGAATCCCACCGTGTATACCAGCACACGACAACATTCAGTTTCACCAATTTGGGTAAGACGCTGGACATTGTTCTGCCAGAATCAGCTTCCCCGTGCCACCTCACAGTCTCGCCTCACGAGAAGGCTATGACGGACTGCGAGGGGCTGTGAACGGGCCGAGGAAGAGGCCAAACAAGGCCGATCATCGATGTTACCCCTCGTGTCCACTTACCGAAAGAAATGCGCGTGCGGACGCCTGACTATTTGCAGTTTTTGTTCCCCTTGTCATATCAGATCTTCTCGCGTCACTGTGGGACCCTCAACTCCTCCTTTTTCGCGTTTAATACAGCTGATAGTGAAATATAGTAGAGGTCGGCGCCTTAGCAATGGAATTCAATTTAAGTAATAAGGTTTTTTTTATTGCGTTTGGACTTTTCGAGTATGAATTCACAGTTAGCTGACCGAACATTTCGATGCACGACATTATCATACTGACATTTATATCACATACAAAAATATATGTCATGTTAACATTGACTTAAGTAGGGGGTCTTTGGTATTTCGCTTAAAATGCAACATTTTTTATGTCATTATTATAGTCGCGAGAAGAAATAACACACAGAAAAAATTCATAAATTTTAAAATTAAATATATAAACGATCCCATCAGCTCACCCTGGATTGGCAAAATTATTTGACGCAACCGCTTAAAATAATAAATAACAGCTGATAAACTTAAACTATTAAAATGCTGCCAGAATGTGTATGTAATTTTTTTTTTGTCAGACGGCAATATGTTTGGTCGAATTTTAGAATACGTTAATACATTATAGTTCAGCTACTAAGTTATCTGTGCTAAATGCTGGAAAGTGCATATGAATTGTGTTCTTCTGGATGCTCTGACGGAAGGCAATTCAGTTCAGTTCAGTTCAGTTTATTGAGGGAAATAGGCGTAAGCCTTTGAGTACCCTATTTGCAACGCAAAAAATTCGTGGTGTACAGTTAGATGTTCTGCGCTGAAATAGTTCGAACACGCCCATAATGGTGGGACAAAATGAGAAGGAGTTACAGGGGGGTGAGCTCTACTTCTCATCGCTCTTGGTCATTTCGGAACATAAATATGTCCAGGTTCTTCTTAAAACTTTGTACAGATGGTGACACCACAACATCTGCGGGAAGCTCATTCCGCGGTTTGACCTTCCGAACCGAGAAGGAGAACTTCCGCACATCCAGCCGTGCCTGCTGAGTGCGCAGTTTTAACGGGTGACCTCGGAGGTTTGTCGTGGTAGCAAATTCAAAAAATTCCTCGAAGGCCAGACTGCAATCCAACTCCTTTACAATGCGGAAGGCTTGCAAGAGATCTCCGCGAAGTTGCCTGTATCTCAAAGGAAAGAGGTTCAGATTTACTAGGCGGGTCGCATAAGGAAAGGAGCTTTGACCCCTGACCATCTTCGTGGCTCTCCTCTGGACTCTTTCGAGGCAGTTTTGATCCACAACACCCCACGGCCTCCAAGCTTGTATGCCGTACTCTAAATGCGGCCGGACGAATGTTCTGAATGTCTTAGAGAAGGCTTCTTCGTCAAAGTACGGACAGTACAGTACGGACATTGCGGTTTTTGCCACCCTCGAACAGTGGGCGGATGGTTTTAGGGAACTCGTCGTAAGCACACCGAGATCCTTTTGGGCTTCGACCTCTTGTTGGGCTGCACCGCCCAGAAAGTAGCCTCTTGTGTTGGCGGATCTGGCTGTGTTGCCTAGGCGAAGTATGCTACATTTGGCAACGTTGAACCGCAGGAGCCAACGGTTTGACCACTCCACCAACCGATTCAGGTTCATCTGCAGTCTGTCTTCATCGGCAGGACCACGAATTACACTCCATATCTTCATGTCGTCCGCAAACATTGCTACTTCACAGACCAAATCTCTTGCGGCATCGTCCACGTAGATAAGGAACAAAATGGGTCCTAGAACTGAACCCTGGGGGACACCACTATCGACCATAGCAGGATCTGATTTTCACCGATCGATGTAGACAACCTGGTGTCGACCCAAAGGGAAGTTTTCGATATACTTAAGGAAGTTGCCACTGATCCCTATTTTTTTAGTTAATGCAAGAGCCTTTGATGTGGCACAGTGTCGAAAGCCTTCTGGAAGTCGTTGAAGGCTATGTGGACCGCGTGCCTGTCGTCGAGAGCTTGGGTCCAGCTCTGGAGAGATTGCAGCAGGTTTGTCGTGCAGGATCTTCCTTTTCGGAACCCATGTTGGCATTTCGATAGCAGGCCGTGAACTTCCAGGAATTGCATTAGTTCACACTTTATGATCCTTTCCATCACTTTGCAGAGAATGCATGTCAAGCTTATGGGCCGGTAATTTGTCGTCGCTGCCCTGTTACCTCCTTCGTGTAGTGGAGTAATATGCGCCAGCTTCCAATCGATTGAAATGTTCCAGTGTCAAATGACGCTTAAAAGAGCATCGACAAAGGCACAGAGAGCTCACGGGCAAGTTCCTTCAGAAGCTTGGATGGAATCTCGTCTGGTCCTGGCGACTTCGATTCGTTCAATGCCTCTAATTCTCTTCGGACAATGCCTTCTGAGAAGACTATATCACTGACGCTTGGAGTCGGCAGTTCTTCTGTGGAGGGAGGAAGGAACCTTGCCTCGTTTGTGTAGACTGATTGGAAAAACCGTGAAAAATACGCAGCTTTATCCCTACTATCAGCGATCTCAACGCCATCAGTAGTCTTTATCAAGGGGATTTGATGCCTGTTCCTTGTAGTTCGTCGGAGGTAGCTGTAGAGAAATTTTGGGTTCTTCGTTGCTTTTTGTAGCAAGTTCTTCTCGAATTCCCGCCGCGTCTGAATTATCAGCTTCCTCAGTTTGTTCCACTGTGTCTTGTAGGTGTTGAAGCATTCAGCTTGTCTAGTGACGCAGTATTTTCTCCACAATTTGTGCTTCCTGTTGATTTCTTTTTTGAGGTTGCTATTTAGCCACCCAGGGCGTTTGTTCAGTCTTACACTAGTCAGTAGGCAGTGGTTGTTGATGAGCTGCAGAAGGACATTCTTGAACAGCTCCCAGTCATCGTTGGCACTTCCCGTAAACAAAGAGCCCCAGTCAAGACCCGATAAAACTGCCCTCATCTGATTGAAATCGCCCCGCCAAACATTACGCCTTTTGTGGCCTGGAGTGTGTGAAATGGAGAATAACGAATAATCCCACATAAGCACTACGTGGTCACTTCGGCCAAGGGGCGGCATGGAGGCGATCTCGTCTATGCTTTCTGGTGTTTTCGTAAAGACCAGATCCAGGCAGTTTGCCCTTTGTCCTTCACTTGTTCTTGTTGGGAACATTACATGTTGTGTGAGGCACGCATTTAATGTCTTTCTCAACAGGCGGTAATCAAATGCCGATTTTGGACATGACGCTTGGAGGGTATTCCAGTTTGTTCCTGGTGCGTTGAAGTCGCCCATGATCAAGATGTTAGGTCGACTGGAAAATTTCTCCAACTGCTCCAATAGTTGAGTGTCGGCGATTCGGTCTGTCCGAGGTGGTCCGTAGACAGTGAGGACATCGAGACACGGGGAACCGGTAGCCTTGATGGTCAACCAGATAGCTTCCGTACTGCACACAAACTTGGTGGTGTTATCCGACACTGCCAGACCGTCATTCACATACACAACGATACCACCTCCCTGACGATGTTCCCTGTGCCTCCGATAAATTTGGTATCTAGGCAAGGCTACTTCGTTATCGCTAATATTCTCGGACAGCCAGGTCTCAGTTACTGCTAAAACATCTGGAGACAGCTCAACAAGGCAAAGTTTTAGTTCGTCTAGTTTCGATAGGAGGCTTTGAGTATTCGTGTACAAGCACCTCAGTTAAGCAGCAGCCGAATTTCCCGTTGCATTTGTTACTGCTGTGAGCATTACTCCGTTATCGCGGACGTCGTGTTCTCTAGGCTCTTCCGTTACCTGATTGGTTCCATTTACATGCCTTGTTTCAGTCAGATCACTGGACGCTACGGGCTCACTTGTGTTGGCGCCTTGATCAGGTGGTTCAACGAAGGTGTCTGTTTTAGCTGAGTAGCTGTCGTCGTTCGTAGTATTACAGGCTGGTTCCACTGAAACGGCATATATTTCCGAACTACCTTCCCCTTGAAAATAGCCAGATTGTGTTCGCCATCCTTCAGTCTTGATTTTAACTCCAAGACAAGTTCACGGCGTTTCAACCGTTCCGCTGGTGAATAGTCCGGTTGAAAAAAAACCTGTTTGTGTGTGTTTCTGAGATCGGTTTTTTTAGAGAGGATAAACTTGATTTGCTCTTTGTTCTCCAGCATAATTTTGAGAGGGCGAGGTGGCTGTGCTACTGTCCTGTCTTCACTCCTTTTTCCTATCCGGAATGCTTTCAGAACCTTTATTTCCATGTCTGCCGGCAGTAAATGATTTAGCAGACCATGAAAAGATGCAAGGTCCTCTGAGACCTGGTCTTCAGGTCTGACTCGCATTCGATTCTGACAAACCCTGAATAACCAGACACTGCTGGCGAGCATGGTCCTCCTTACTCTGTCTTTCCGGTGAATGCGCTGAAAGTGGGCGAGGACGATTTACGGAGTCATCGCTTGGACGCACACTTTTACTGTCTACCGGCTGTACCGAGCAACCCATCAGGGCTGGCTGGGAATTCGGAATCCTGTCATGGCGTTTCCCTCTCCCCTCTACACGCTGGCTTATGTCTTCACATTCAGATACGTGCTCTGTAGTGCGCTCGGGGTGGTTGCCAGAACAAGAGGGCAAGAGTAGACTGGATGACCCAGGTGTATCGTCTCCAGGCAGAACAGAAATCCCATCGACAAGGCAACGGGCTCGTGGCCCGGTGAGTAGAGGCGTTGACTTCTAAACCAACAGGTCGCGAGTTCGAGGCTCGGATGGTCCACACTTCGGGCTTGGGTATGGCTGGCTGACGACGGCTAATAAGCCAGAAATGGCCATTCCAGTCTCCCTTGTCTTTGTCGGTAATACTATTCTGCCTAGAAATCCCATCACTTACAGCAAGAGGTTTAGGTGACATGGATTCCGCGATAGGTAATTTTTTTGCGACATCGCTTAAGACATCGTGCGTGGGAATCGAGTCTCCCTTTATCGGCGGCTTCGTTTTCATTCTCCTGCTGTTACCGGCGTCTGCGCTTTTGGCTGTTGAGTTGCTACTCGTGTTTGAAGATTCCCCCGAGGAGATATTTTTTCGCGTTTTTTGCGTTTTGCTCTTCGTTTTTGGGATTCTAACACTGGACACGTTCTGGCCGACTACGGTCTGTTGCACGAGCGTCCTTAAATCAGCAAGCTCCTTTTCCAGTTGTTCTACTTTGATTTGAATATCTGAGCACCCAGCACAAGGCTCGTCATCGTACCTCACACTTTTTGCGGTATTTACGCTTTTTGCACGCTTTGCTGGTCGTTGGCTGGAGGCGAAGGTAGAGCGAGCACAGGGTCTGGATGCGAAGGACAACTCACCGGACTTATCTTCGAAAGAGGTGCCGTCGCTGGCGGTACTACTACAGTTAGCCTGCTGAGAATCCATAAACTTCGACGTGATATAATAGGTATAATTCCGCTTTCGATGTTATAACGAATACGTCCGCTTATATATGATGAATTAAAGTGAGTATTCAAAACTCAATAAGAGAAAAAATACTTAAGATCCGATAAATTTTGTTGAATTAAATCAGAAGCGACTTAGCCCTTTCCAGATCTCGTGGGACTTGAATAACTGCAGACCTTGAAGGATTTTGAGCGATTGGTTTTCTAGGCTATATACCGTAAATCGGTTGCGTAGTCAGTTGCGTTGTCAGTTGGACCGTGCTGATAAACAAATTGCACTTAATCCAGATTCCAGGCGAATTTCGATGCGTGAATAAATATTCAAAAAATGCACAAAGTTAGTCTGTACGTACGCTTCCAGTATCAATGTCAGAGACTGTAACTGTGGGATGGTATCCAAGACGAAATTGTCCCAGTTGGAGCGCAGAATAATTCCGTCGTGCTCAGTTGGACTCAGTTGCTCAGTCATTGACATGCGTGTGAACGCTGCACTCTGTAGCTGACTGTAACAATAACTGGCAATAGTAAGATTGATGTATTGCGACGAATCAGGTTATGTGTTGTTTATTAGTGTTGGCCGACTCGTAATATAAGCAGCTGCTATGAATAAATGAGCCTTCCGTGAAGATGTCCTCGTACATTTATACAGCGTCCAGGAAATTAACGATTTTCTATAAATATCACTTCAGTATGAAGCAAACTGCCTTCCGATCTCATAAATCTTATCTTTGCACGCTTTTATATGATTCCTTTTTACAATCTGAATCGTCTGGAAGTTTAATGCAACTAGCATATGGCAATAATTACACGAAGATGCAAGTTCATATAGGAGTAAAATCTCAATGTTCAGTTTTTGCATGCATTTAGCACGCAATGTTCTTGATAGATTGTTCTCATTACACGTTTGCAATGACTCCGTAGTAAACCAGGTCGAAATGGGTGAGAGCATGGTTTTATTGTGAGGAGGAATGAGATGATAATCAGCAGTGACAGAAATGGGAGTAACGCTCTAAAGTATAATGGGCAGGTTGTTAGCGTTAATATTGCGATCCTGAAGAAATCAATTTGAGCACTAACTAGCAGTTGACAGTGGAGATAGAACGAATTGTCTGGGGGATTGATAATATTGTTCCTCTTTGAGTCTGTATGCAAGCATTTTAGCCCGTTTACCTTAATTATCAAGACGAGCTTGTAAACTGATACTTCAGATTCGATGGCGAGGGACGAGGGAGGTGGCTACTGAATTCAACATTTTTATAGCTAGTCTTTTATGTCCAGATGTCTGTCTGTGTCCGATTTCACCCGGGCCGTCTTCAAAGCCACGCGATTGCGTTACCCTTAAACATTCTACTCCCTGCGTGAATGTCAGCCATCCTCAAATTGTGGCAGCTAGTCACTGTTCCGACTGTTT